GATTGCGTCGCTGCTGACGTGAGTGGAGATGCGTATCTTCCTGGTCGGCTCGGCAGGGTCTAGCGCGACCTCGAAATCGGAATCCATGGATTCCGGGCGGGGCTCTTCTGCTCTTGTGTCGACGATGTTGGTTTGGCGTGCCACAACGCGGTCTTCCCAAGTCGTTCCTCGCGCCTCCCCGACTCCTCCCTGTGTTGGAAACTTGAGCTTCTGGTGACACGTCGATGGGAGGGCCATGAACTTCGCGAGGAAAGGTCGGCCCAAGATGCCATTGTGCGCCGATTCGCAATCGACGATTGTGAACTCTATCTGCTTGGAGACGCGGGGCTCCTGGTCCCCAATAACCACTGGGAGGGTGACCACTCCAATTACCGGGACTCTGGTTCCGGAGAAACCAACTAAGTTGCCGTGTGCGCGCCTGATTAGGCGCGGATCGATATCCATTTTGTTGATGGTACTCTGGAAGAGGATGTCGGCCGCACTACCCCCGTCTATCAGGAGACGGTGGGTCTTGCAGGCGGCAATCAGCGCGGTGACGATGAGTGGCTCCTCCGACGGGATTCCTTGTGGGAACTCCGCGTCGCCGAAGCTCAGATTGAACTTTGGCGGTGCGTCGACAGCCGCGCATTCCGTTGCGCGCTCACGCTTGGTTTTCTTCTTGGGACGATCTCCTTCGACCGTTACCACCCCGATTTCTTTGCGCACTACATACGCGCCTGTGTCATCGTCGTAATCGGCTTGTGGGGGTGGGGGTGGTCGTTGCGGCGCTTCGACTTGCTCCTTTTTCACGTGGGTGAACTCAGTTAGCAACCCTCGTCGTACGAGGCCCTCTATTTCGTACCGTAAATCTCGGCATTCTTCTGTCTTATGCCCCGTTGCTCTGTGGAATTCACAATGCCTGCTCGGGTCGCGCATGTAGGGTTGAGACTTCAGCGGGGCAGGCCAGTTAAGCTTGTATCCTTTCTCGCGGAGGACGTGGAACACGTTTCTCACGGAGTCATTGAGGGGCGTGTAGGCATTGGATACGCGCCTGTCTGGCGATCGCCCGCGCTGTCCCTGCTCTGGTGGGGGAGGGGGGTTGCGCTTCGGACCACTGTGCATCTGTAGTAGTTGGTCCCGTGGGATTGGGGTCGGAGGTTGTCGACGCGTCTGTTCCTCTCGCGACATTCTCGCCGGTTCGAAGCGCCTGACGGATCCCGCCCCCAAGGTTTCTTCCAACGTGATTGCCTTCTCGATCTTCATCTCCAACTCCGTCGACAGCGTGACGGGCCTTTTTGCTAAGGCCCGTTTGAGCTCCATGTTGTTGGTTGCCTCCATGAGGTGATGGGCGGCTGTTTCGGGAGTAAGGTCACGAACGGACATTGCTACCCGGGACCATCTGGCGTAGAAAGCCCTCAGGCTTTCTCCGTCTTTTTGCCTGATATCTATCAGGGCCTTGAGGTGGAGGGGGCGTCGCTTCTGGGACGCGAATTTTGTGGTGAACAGAAGTATGAACTCCTCAAACGAGTTGATGATTCCATTGGGGAGGCGGTTGTACCAATCGAGGCATATCCCGGTGAATGTCGAGGGGAAGGTTCTGCATAGCGCGGCGTTGGAGTTGGTTTGGAGTTGCATGCGCAGGCAGAAGGTGCTCACGTGGTCCTCCGGGTCGGTAGTGCCGTTGTATGTCGGGAGGGTTGGTGGCGCTCCGGTTAGGTTCTCTGCCATTATTTGCGCGCTCAATGGCTGGTGTAGGGTCCTTTTGGGCGGGTTGGGCCGGTATTGCGGAGTCAGGTGTTGCTCCAAGAAGCTGAGGTCTGCCCGCCCCGGTGGTTCGACTTCCTGTGTCCCGCGTGCGGGAAGTTCCGCTGGCGCGAGTTGCGACGACAGGATTGTCCCTGAAGTTTCTCCCAAGGCTTGTTGAGGCGCGCTCGTTGTCGCGTCCGTCGTTGGCGCGCCTTCCTTGCTCATCATGAGCGCGATTACCTGGCTCATTTGCCTCTGCATGTCGGCTATGACGTTGTTTTGTTTCGTCAACAGCTCCCTCATTTCTTTGGGCGTCAGCTCCGGTTCTTCTTCCTCGATGAGTACCGCGTTGAGGTTGCTGGCTTCTGCGAACGCCCTTGGGTCAGTCATCGCCTTGATCGGCGTTGCTTGGTCAGGTTGTTCGAGATTGCGCTCTGCCATTGGTGGGTCTTTTTCAGCGTTTCCTCTCGGCCCCACGGTGGGCGCCAATTGTTTGAACCTAACTGAGTGTAGGAGTGAGGCTCGAATGAGAGTTTGGGTCGAGAAGAAACGTGAGAGCCGGGTTTGATAGGAGGAATCAGAATCAGAGAGAGTGAGTAAGAGAGAGATTAGACAGAGAAGTAGTTCTTGTAGAGAGAGAATGGTGAAAAATGCCATCCCCTCACCCACCGTAGTAAATGCCATATTTATAGGCTTCATGGTGGTGGGTGAGTGGTTGACATAGGGAGAGATACAGTGATGTGACTACTGGGATACAATGATGTGACCACTAGCATACTAAGGCTTTTAGGCCATCCCTCTACCTAGGATGAGTCAGAGATCCACTCATGGCCCTGATGTGACTACCCGCTTGGAAGAGGTGCGCTTCCCTCATCTTCTGGTTCAGCCTACGCTAGTCCTCCCCTAGCGCCTGTCATCTCTTCGCGCCTGGACGTGGTTAGCCACGATGAGGCGGCACACTCGGGGTCCTCGCGCTGCCGTGTTGGGGTCTCATCCAGTTGCGCCCGGCTCCTTGGCGTGGTTAGGCCCGAGTCCTATGCCCAACAATTTCCAATGTATTTCACTTAGGCAAACCATTGACATGGTAAACAGTAGAACCACCATAAAAGATTTAGTAATGCATATAGTTTTTTTTTGGGCAATGTCTATTTTTTAACCAAACCTTTTTCAGATTCTTTTATTTTAACCAAACCTATTGAATTCCTAAAAATTATCCAAACGTTAACTCTCCGTCAACTTTTCTGTTAGTAATGCTGACTAAGTATGACCATAATGAGTTGACTTCCTACGTGACGGTCAGAATACCATCATTTACTATTTTTAATAAAAAGATTATCAAAAAACAAAACAAAATCTCACCCCTCACGTGGACGAAATAAGTAACGGTAACAGAATGAATGCCCAGACTTTGATAAATTATAATACGTTTGGATAATAAATAGAATTTCTATAGGTTTGGTTAAAATAAAAGAATTTGAAAAAAGTTTGGGTAAAAAATAGACATTGCCCTTTTTTTTTTATATATACAATACATGTTTTTTTATACTTTTCTACTTTGCATTATCTATATTGTTATTCCAACTAACTGTTTCATTTTACATATTACCCCAAACCAGGGATGGGAGAGTATAAATATTATACTGTTTGATCCATGATCTGCAATATTGGTTGTTTTGATTTTTTAGTTTGGTATGGTGCAGACAATGATTTACCGGTCAAGATCAAAAACTCAATCGATTTCTCAATCTGTATTAGCAACCACCTCCTTACTCCTCAATGGGCCCTAATTTTTCGAATTTCCTCCTTACGAAGTTATGGTGAAAATTGGACTACTCTGATTTTCTTCCCAAGTTATTCATTTAATTTTTTGTTTGATGACCTACAATTTGTTTATTTTTCACTTAATTAACAAGATCCATAATCACATAGGTGTGGTTTGATAAAAAACCGTACAGACCCATATCACATAGGTCATAGGTGTGGTTTGATCTAAACCGTATAGTCCCTAATATGTATTTCAACTACTCAATTTAGACCAGACATATGATTAGAGCATATTGTTTCTTCACCCCATTTACTTATTATCACATGTTAAAACCACGTAATCTAACACTAGCTACCAACATATGCCTATAGTCAAAGGTTGTCAACCCGCGGGTTGACCCACGGGTCGACCCAATTTGACCCTGACCCGGTGAGAAAAACGGGCCGCACGCACCCGCCGGGCCAACCGCTATAAGGTACCGGGTTGGAGGTCAAATTGTTTCATTTTTTTCTTTAGTTTGCGAAATGCGCCTATTTTTCAATTTTTCTTTTCGCCTAACTCAATCTTTGGAATACTAAGTTGAACATTTGAATATTTATGTTATATAAGTGTGTGTGAATTTTCACTATATGTTGGATCTAAGTACGATATGTTATTTTGGTGAATATTATATGTTATAACTCATATGTTAGATAAGATTTGATATAATTTATGAGGATAAGTACAATATAATGACTCTTTCTATATTTTCGGGCCAAACCGGGCTAAAACGGTTGACCCATTAACCCTTGACCCACTAGCTCGACCGGGTCCGGGTTAACCCGCGGGTTGACAACCTTGCCTATAGTTGAATTTATTGTTTGAAAATATTTGTTGAACAAAAACGACTCATAATCAAAGATTGATGATTTCTTTGCTTATATCACCACCATATAATTTTCAACTTTTCATGTAACTTGGCATACAATTAATAAGTAAATAAACAAAATCCACATGAGAAGTATAGCATGAAACAAGCAAAACAAGAGTGGAAAAATTGCATGCCCCTTCCACTAACCCCATTGGGTCCAATTTGTTATTGTTTCTTTTGTTCCTTTTGGCTTTTGCCTCCTCTTCCTTCTTCCATTATTTTTGACACAGTCAAAACTTCCCTTCCTTCAAACCTCTCTTCCTCTCCCCTCCAGGTTTGTATATACTGAAGACAAGTTCAAGGAAATTTCCCTATATATCACCTCCATACACAATTCTTCCTTTCCATAACCTTTCTAAAGAAACCCTTTACAATAATACACAATACCCTCTAAATCCTTCTTCCATAAGTAGTTAAAACCTTGCAACTTTCCTCCTCCTCCTTCTTCTTCTCCTTCTTCTTCTTCTTCTTCCCCCATCTTCACCATTCAACCAAAATCCTATGCAACTTTGACACTCAAAGAAGGAAAATCAAAGAGATCGAAGTCAGTCTTTTGTCAAAAAGATCAGGCACCCACAAATAAGAAGAAAAAAGGAAACAATGGTGCTACATTCAGAAGATTTTCTTTGGGGTTTCTCAGTCATTTCTCTAGCTCTCTACCTCTTTAACAACATCTCCAAACACTCCTTCCTCTCCCTCCTCACCTCTTCTTCTTCTTCTTCATCCTCCTCCTCTCCTCTTTCATGGGTACAAAGGCTCCTCCCACCTCAAGATTCCTCTTCATCGGCTGATGAGAACACTCATCATCAAGAACAAGAACAACAAGAAGAAGAGATCATGATGGTGAATAGCCACAAAGATTGTGGCAAGAAGGAGAAAGGGCTTCTTCTTCCTCCTCATCCCCATCAAAGTGGTGGCAACAACAACAAGCTGACGATCATGAAGAAGAAGAAGAAGATCAGGCCAAGCAACCTCATCGTGCCGATCCAAAGCTACCCGTGTGCCAAATCGGAGTTCGAAGAGCTTTGCAAGAGGTCGGAGAGCAAGGAGCTCGAGGTTCGTGGGAGGAACTTTTGCTTGGCTAGCAAGAAAGGGAGGAGGGAAGTCATGGAGGATGGGTATGAAGTCGTCACCGACATCCATGGAGACTCCAAGCAGGTACATTTTAGTGGCGGAGTCAGAAATCTGTACAGGATTGACTAAAATTTTACTAATTTTTTTATAATTTGATACAAATTTTACGTGTTGAGAGGAGGTTATAGCCTCTCTTTCTCCGTCACTGATCTTCTCTACCGTCACAGATGAAACTACAGTGATATCTTTGGTTGAGTGTGGTTGTCTAATCTTGAACATGACAATTACAGGGTTTTTTCGCGGTGGTCGACGGGCACGGTGGCCGGGCGGCGATGGAGTACGTGGCGGAGAATTTGGGGAAGAACATAGTGGAAGCCATGGATGGTGGTGAGGTGGTGGTGGAGGAAGCAATTCGAAAGGGATATTTGGTTACAGACAAAGGGTTCCTTAGCCAGGTAAACTTACCTCGATGCTTGTTGTTTTCAGTCCTTCCAAAGAAAGTCTTGATTTGGTAGAAATAGTCAGTCGTATGACTTGGTCTTCAAGTTGACAGAATAATTTAACAATAATATGCATGGAATTTTGATGTACTATTCATATGTCGGCAATTAGGGTGTTCACATCATTATATTCTTTCTCCCATTTGATTGGTTAACCAACTTTCTTTTTGTGTGTTAGGTTACTAACTAGCTAGTGTAAAATCAGTGTGTCCACATTAGGGTTCAACTACGAGATTTTTTTGGTTATCGAAGTTTAATTTTTACATTTAGAATCAACAATCAACCGTCGGTTTATGATATTATGATCAAACCCTTATAAGATGGAACTCAATTTGGATCTCTTTTTATGTTTTCGTTGTGATGGGTTATTAATTCCCCCCTCCCCCCTCCCCCTTCTTTACGCAGAGGGTTAGTAGTGGAGCTTGTGTTGCAAGTGTGGTGATGAAAAATGGAGCAATGCATGTCGCCAACGTGGGGGATTGTCGAGTAATCCTAAGCAAACACGGAGTGGCCGTTCCATTGACAATCGATCATCGTCTCAACACTAGAGAAGATGAGCGGCGACGTATTGAGAATATGGTGAGATTAATTCCATAAACCGTCCAATCAATCAATCGATCTTGTTAGACATTTACAATCGATGATACGCGCGACATGACATTGGTGCTAACTCTGGTACTTTCTGTACGATTGCAGGGTGGCTATGTACACTGCGACAGAGTCCAAGGTTCGCTAGCCGTCTCGAGGGCTATCGGGGATCTCCACCTGAAGGAATGGGTCATATCCGAGCCCGATATCAGCAAGGTTCCAATAACTCCAGATTGTCAGTTCTTGATCATGGCTTCTGATGGCCTCTGGGATAAGGTTGGTGAGCAAGAGGCAGTTGATGAAGTCTCAAGGCATTATTGTAACAACAATGGAGTACTGATGGAAGCATGCAAGAAGCTGGTTCAGTTGTCTTTCAGCCGAGGCAATTTGGATGATGCAACGGTTATGGTTATTAGTCTAGGGAGTTTCATGGACCAACAACCACCAATTTTGAGCAACTAATTCATCAAGAGTAGTTATGTAGTTAATTAAGTAATATTAGAGTTATTTCCAATGGATGAATACCTAGTGTCTTTGGAAATATCAAAGACAAAATGTTGGATCGATGTGTATTATTATTATTATTATTATTATTAGCATTTTCATATCTTGTAAATTTTACTTGCTTATGGTACTTTGTTGAATTGTTAAGTACATAATGGGAAGAGTTTCCATCTCCATATGATATTCTCACTCTACATTTTTTTTTTTAACTTTGAACAACGAATATTAAACTGGTGAGACTATAAAAAGACGTGGTAAAATCATGGTTAGAACTATGAACGAAGTCAAAGATCTGACTCATAATTCAAAGTTACATTATCCTTTTATATAAGAAGTTATTTGCTATAAGCAATCACTTCTTAATAAATTTTGTTTCGATATGCCACTCTCTATTATAAATGTTTTAGCATACCATATATTCGTAAACAAAAAACTAATTATATTACCAGTGTAGTGATACACAACAATAGCAGAAAAATAAGGTTAATGATGTAAAATTTATTGAAGAAAATCAGTTGTAAATTGTAAGAGTACTGAAATATACAGATAGTAAACTTCAGGAATCTAATCTCATTACAAGAACAATATCGTGTGCATTCTGGGAGTATGTATAAAATATAAAGGACTAAATTGTAATATATCTAAATCATCTCACTGAAACCCTAAACGCCACAGAGGTGCTAAGGTTTTGCAGAGGTAACTAAAATCTTGCTACACTTCTAAAAAGTAAAAACCCTTCTCACAGCTGTCAATGTCATCAATGGCGGACGGCGGCGGCGAAGAAGTCCAGGTTGTGACCTTGGGAGGTAAGGGCTCATCTCTTTCCTCCTCCTCTGTCAACGCTATCGCTGCCGGCCAAGCTCGACTCCGCATCGATTCGTCGGCACTTGATAGGCTAACCACTCAGTCCTCTCCTCCAGAGTCTCTGAAAACATGCAGAATCCCGATCCCCGAAACACTAACCCCGATCGAATGTCGAGCCTCACTCGTCGTCCTGCTCAACAAGCTCCTTCGCCACCCGAATCCTTCAAAAATTCGCACCGTCCTCCCCAATCTGATCGCCGATGCACTAAATTCAGGTTCCGGCGCGGCCACGAGTTTCGCATCAGTTGAGGTGACAGATGAGGAAGAGTTGGTGGTCCAGAACTCCTGCGCGGAGCTGTACGGCGTTTCCGCCATTATCGACCACGAAGCAGCTGCTCTGGCGACTGTAGTCGATGCCGTGGCTGCATTGTCGTGCGAGGCGCTGAAAGGAAACGACGCGGCGTTTAATTCCACGGATTCTGGAGATGGGCACGTCGACAAGGATGAGATTGGTGTCGCCAGTGATATGAAGTTGCTGCTCAGTGGATCGAAGATGGCGGGAAAGAATCCGATTAAGGCAATCTCAAAGATTCCTGAAGTTCACGGAGGATTGAGGCAGTTTGTGAAGTCGGTGCATTCGATGACGAGGGTCAAGCTGAATTCCTCTGTGAAAGCCGTGGATGGCGGGGAGAGGGAGGCGGTGGCGGCAAAGCTGCAACCTTTACCCGCGCTAAGGAATGTGGGGGCAAGTAGTTTAAGCAGGGCGAAGCTGAATGTTGAAGCTGTAGGGATTGAAAGTTCTAGGACTGGTTTGCTTACTCTGTTTGAGGAGACATGCCCTACTGATGCTGATTTGAAGAATGCTGCTAAGTTGGTTTCAGATTTGCTTTTCGAAGAGGATTATCCGGCATTCGTTCATGCATTGAATGGTTTGTTGGAGACTGTGTGGACTATTGTCTCGTGGGAGGTTGTGACGGCTTTTGTTGTTCTGGAGGGTGGAGATTTGGAGGGTGGGACGACTGGTGAAGTGAATGGAGGGGATAAACCGGTGGACAAGAAGAGTGAGAAGAAGAAAAAGAAGGCGGTTCTGGGGAAAGGAACTAGCTTGACTGTGCAGTTAATTAAGGAATGGTTACAGAGAAAGGAAGGGGGAGCTAGTGATGGTCAAACTGTGTTGGAGAAATGGGTGAAGGATGTGTTATTGTTTTTCAATCACAAGCGCCCTCAATTTGGAGAGTTAGTTACCAAAATTAAAGGAATAGTGGAAAGTAATGAAAGTAGAAGGCTTCCCAAGCTTCCTAAGGTAAAAAGAGTCCGTTGCAACTTTGCAGTTGGATGTTATGTTAACTTTCTGTTTTATCCAACATGATTTGGCACTCAGAATTTGGTAAACCCAGGTTCGTTATATATGTTCATGTTTCGAACCATTTTATAGGCAAGACTTTTAAGTTATCCAATCTGCGCAAGCTTTTGTTAACCTCAGTTATATTTCCTTCGCTGTGTTTTGTTTCCTTTTACCAATCTGCTAAAGCTTTTCTTCGTTGACAAAGTTGCAACCATTTTAACATTCTTGTTTTGTTCTTATGATTTAAAAAAAAACAGGGTACTCGTGACTTCTCTAAGGAGCAAATGACAATAAGAGAAAAGGCATTCTCTATCATTGCTGACGTTTTCAAGAGGCATGGTGCAACTGCTCTAGACACTCCAGTTTTTGAATTGAGAGAGACTTTGATGGGGAAATATGGGGAGGATTCAAAGTTGGTTTATGATCTTGCTGACCAGGTATGCTGTGTTGTGATGATTATTTCCGGAGTACTCTTTTAGGGAAATACTGAACTGGAAGCTTGAAAGTTGGGGGGTATTTTCTTGAGTCGTTTAGTTTATCATGTTAGAAGGAGATTCATCATATTTCAATCTTCAATTCAGCTAAAGCTGATATGATTGTCTTGTGATTTTCACAGGGTGGGGAGCTATGTTCTTTGCGGTACGACTTAACTGTTCCATTTGCTCGGTATGTGGCTATGAATGGTATCACATCATTCAAAAGGTACCAGATAGCTAAAGTGTATAGAAGAGACAATCCAGCAAAAGGAAGATACCGCGAATTTTATCAGTGTGATTTTGATATTGCTGGACAATATGAAGAAATGGGACCAGATTTTGAGGTCATTAAAATTCTGACTGAATTGCTCAATGAGCTAGATATTGGTGATTATGAGGTAATGCCTGCTAATCTTGCTTGCACAAAGCTGCCTCCATAATTAATATTTCTAGATGCATCCATAATTAATTTCTTGATTGTACAAATCATATTCAATGTAACTGGAAGGAAGTCTTCCAGCTCCAGATGTTAGATGTAGCAATTGATCTTCTTTCCCTTCTTTGTTTTCCTTTGAACAGGTCAAATTGAATCACCGGAAGTTGCTTGATGGTATGTTAGAAATATGTGGAGTGCCACCAGAAAAGTTCAGGACAATATGTTCAAGCATTGACAAATTGGATAAACAATCATTTGAGCAAGTTAAAAAGGAAATGGTAAGACTTTCATCTCTTCAGCTAATCTGGCTTTCATTGGGAGCCTTTGTCTTCTGATTTTTATGATATTCATGATACTGTTCACTCACTGCAATATCTTTCAGGTTGAGGAGAAGGGTTTAAGTGCAGAGACAGCAGACAAAATTGGTACATTTGTGAAGGAAAGGGGATCCCCTAAGGAATTACTGGTGAAGCTCAAACAAGAAGGCAGCGAATTTTTGCTGAATGCTTCTTCTAAACGTGCACTGGATGAACTGGATATTCTTTTTGAAGCTTTGGACCGTTCAAAGTGCATTAGCAAGGTTGTTTTTGACCTGAGCCTTGCCAGAGGGCTTGATTACTATACTGGAGTCATATACGAGGCTGTCTTCAAAGGAACTACACAAGTGCGTTATTATTATCATTGCCGTTCTATTACTCCAACTTTGATCTGGGATCTTGTTTGTCAATAAGTCTGGTCTAATGTATTGATCCTTTCAGGTTGGTTCGATTGCGGCTGGTGGGCGTTACGACAACCTTATCGGCATGTTTGGCACCAAGCAAGTCCCTGCTGTTGGAGTCAGCCTGGGGATCGAACGTGTGTTTGCTATAATGGAGCAGGTTCAGAAGGACAGGAACCAGGTAAGATGATGAATGTATTACCAAAAATAGAAAACCTTCTCGCCAAGTTTTTTTCCCCCAATTAATCAAACTCTGGGAATTAGAATGCTAAAATTGAACGGGCTAGAGAGTGGTTCTGACTTTTGAGACATCTCATAAGTGATTAGGAGCTGATGTTGTGAGGTTGATATGGCAAAATTGACAATCTTATGACTACAATTAATGCCTAGCGACAAGGATTAAGACTGAAATTGAACTCTATAAACCAATTCTTCTTACGGGGTCCATATCCTCGAGCTAGCTAAGAGTTAAAAGATCATTCGATAGGCGCTCATGTGGTTGTTTTTCCTTTTCTGTTATGGCCATTGGTAGATTGTTCGCCCTACCGAGACCCAGGTTCAATTGAGCATCCTAGGGGATAAAAGCAAGCTGCCTCTAGCTGCAGAGCTTGCTGGGGAGCTGTGGGACAGCAGAGTGAAAGCGGAGTACATCCTTAACAAGAGGTCCGACAAACACATGGCCCGAGCCAAGGAATCAAAGGTGCCGTGGATGGTCCTCGTGGGGGAGAAGGAGCTCGAGAGTGGTACCGTGAAGCTAAAGAACATGGAGGCCAACGCCGAGGAAGAGGTTCCAAGAGCTACATTTGTTCAGGAATTGCAGAGACGGTTGAAGGAATGAACGTTACATGCCCTAGTCAAAGCAATGCTGCCTGTTTTGTTATCTTGGATGATATACTTGGTGAATTAGAATAGAGAAAGGAGAGAACACTAGTAACTAGTTACTACTATTGAATCATGGTAATCTTATGTGGGAGAATGTTATGTATACATGTTTGGAATCACGTACTCTGTTCACATTCTATCAGGGAGCACCATGTAACTTGGTACCTAAGAAAAGGCATCTTCAGTTCAATATGATCATAATGATCCTTACATTTCACCCTTTGTCCCAAAACATAGCTTTCGAACTTTGTCCTTTTTGTTGCCTTGTAAACGTGTATATGTGTACTTTTCAATGGAGTGTCCAATGTTTTCTTCTTCGTTTCTTGTCACCAAGGAATTCATTACGAGGCAACGAGGAAGGAAAGTATCGTAATGCCATGTATACATAGATGGAATCTGACAGTTGCGTCCTAAGTTGGTAATCTTTCTCATTCTATTCCCCATTTGCAATCTAACTTTCCCTCGACCGTAAGAGGTGGCCGAGAGAAATAAAAGAAAATGTGTGCTGCTCAAAATGAGGGTTAATAATACTTCTGATCATAAATGTGTTGATCAACTACGTTGTTTTGTTCGATTTTAATCTTTCAATTAGAAATTTACATTTAGTCTTGTTTTCAAGTCAAGAAAGATCCACTAATGATGAACACGTCTTTAATGAGTCATAACTCATATGTGACATGTTATAAATTTTTAGGAATCATGATTTATCTTTCCATTAGATTTTTTTTATGGTTAATAAAAGGAATATTAAGATCAAGAGTTGCAAACGGCAGAACTAACAAGTATAGCCAACACTTTACATAACCATCAACAAATTGAAGCAACATAACTATGATTCTAGTAAAGGGAATGTTGATGTAGAAACCAACTAAAACAGTTAACTATCACCCAAAAAACATTTTTTAACTGGATTATTTCATATCCCAATATCGTCATTATTTTTATAATACATCCGACATTTGAGATTTGATAAGCTCGAGATCATTTGATGAACCAAAATCAAGAAGTGGTAAAATAAATTTTTCGTATATGTGGCATCGGAATCTTCTGAAGAAATGTAAGACCTATTTACTAATCATAGTAGACCCATTGACAAACAATCTAAATGGGGTGAAATACTTAGAATGTTAAAAAAAAAAAACATATTTACAATCACATGACCTAAGAACTCCGGCCTAACTTAAAAGTGGAAAGTTCAGCATACCTACCAATTTGTTGACTCAAAGCAGCACACAGAAATTAAGTTTAGGCCGTTGAATTAGTTCTTTCTTTAACCAAGTCAAGGTACAGTATTAAATTCCCAACCAAATCTATCACCCTTTTTCCTTCCTAAGTATTTTGTGTGATAATTGTTTCCTTACATTTTCTTTCTTTTTAGTCGATCATTCATTTTATTTAAATCTTTAGGTAAATAAAGACGTTGCGTGCAACGACGAGCGGTGAGAGCGAGAAGAGGTCATAAAAAAAAATAAAAAAGAGAGGAAGATAATTAATGAGGGAAAACTGGCTGTTGTTAGAGAAGTATTGGAAGGAGTTCAGTAAAAGGATCACATTTGGAAGATTAGCGATGAGAGAAGAGCCTTAAGTAATTAAAAATTTGTTTCAATGGCCGTTTCAAAATTTTAATTTCTAATCGAAAAAATAACATAACTGATCCTAAATTAACCTATTTTTCATGTTACACAGGGTTGGTTATAATCAATATCATACCATTTTTGGCTATGATTTATTTAGTATTTGTACATGCACTACCCCACTTAGTTTATGTTATCTGCATGAACAAGTGGGTGGACACTTGTCCTCTTATGCTTCTCTGAATTCCTTCCCAAATAATTTTAAATAGCTAAAAAACAAAAAGAAATGCCAAAAACAGAGTTTTTATTTTAAATATTAACTCTTCCTCTAGATTTTTTCCACTTTCAGAAAATAGAAATCAACAATTCTCCTGTCCACAATTACCTAACATCAGAAACTCTTCTCCCACTCTAATGACGTGGCAGAAACCCATTGGCTCTCCCTTCCCTCAGGGCCAATCATTCTTCTTAATTACACATCTTTGGGTGTTGTCAATTTAAGGAAGATGGTCAATTACAGAAGTGATGACTGAATTTTGGGGTGGTTTACAAATCTGTCCAGAAAAGGGCACGAGTCCGAACGCTATGCTCATACATTGCTTAGGTACACACGTAGGTGAGCAATTCATACTTACTACTTAGTCCATCTCTGTTGTGTTCTTCATTGAAATTATCTAGACCAGTATGTCGATCAATTCTGCTAGCTTAGTAAAGAAAAATTCACTAAAAAAAAGTAAGGAAAAGTTCATGCAGATGTAAGCTGAAATAGAGTAAGCTTAACATCAACTACTAGAGTGAGAAGAGAAGACCATGATTATTGTGGGCAATGTAAGCTGAAATAGAGTCGAATAAACATTTTGATTTGGATAATATTTGAGTTTCAATATCAGTTAATTAGAATCTATAAGACCATTTTTGTTATTAATTTATTTGAGTTGACACACTGATTGAGATGATCCAAATAGAATGACCATTATGTTCGGTCACTCGGACCTCTAGTGACAAATTTGTTAAAAATTAAACTCCAGGGGTTGGTTGACTATGAGCCATAAAGTTCAGGCAGTCATGTGACTAATTTACCCAAAAAATGGGGAAATATTGGAATTTAGAAAGAGGTGAGGCAGTTGTGGATTGGGATGGCAGTTGTGTTGAAAGTGCTATAACCCAACACTAACTCCTTTTAACCTTTCTTCCTCTAGTCTCCTTTTTCCCCAGAATCACACATCGGAAAATCCAAAAAGGGTTTCCGAATTTGCGTGTTAGGGTTCCAAAGTTTCAATCTTTTCTCTTTGTTTCTCCCAGTTCTTACCAAAGCAGGGGATAGATAGATAGATTTACTCTTTTTTCTCAAATAGCCATGGAAGAAGGAGAAGGTTCGCTGGAGTTTCAGGACTGGGAGGTTCTGGCTCATTCCGACACCGAAGCTGTTGTGATTAGCTCCCCTGTGTCGGTGGAGAATCCAAGGAGTTTCGAGGAGATCGAGGCTGATTCCGGCGGGATGATCAGGTTGGATTACTTCTCTATAGGAAATGATAGCATGTTTGATAAATCTGTTGTTGCTAGTGCTGCTGGTGAGGTAGAGAGCTCTGTTGAGTCTGATAATCCGAGTTGGATAGATCCTGCTATTGATAATCGATTCGAGGGCAAAAATTCGGTTGGATTCTGGTCTGATTCGGGTAGTGATCGGTCGGATGACCGCAAAGTTGGTGACTTTGATGTGAGAAATGAATTGGGTGCTGAAAAATTGGCCAAGAGCGAGGAAATGGAAGCTAAGGGAGTTGACGGAAGGGAGTTTGATCAGCTGGTGGGGGAGCTTTCGAGCTGTGAGGCGAAGAGTGAATCAGGTTTTGAGGAGAATGTGAAGAGCCGCCAACTGGGTTTTGAAGAAATTGAGGAGAAGCTAGGGAAGGAGAAAGATATGACCAAATTCTGGTCTGATTCTGGTGGTGACGGCTTGGTTTTGGGTTCTGAGGTTCTGAGTGAGGAGGCCACTCGTGGTGGCAATGCTCCGGTGGAGGAGAACTCGGGTGTTGTTGAAGCTGGGGAAGGGAAACCGGGTGTTGGCGATGAGGGGAAGAAGCAGCCAGTGGTCTGGTGGAAAGTGCCGTTTGAGTTGTTGAAGTGTTGTGTTTTTAGAGTTAGCCCGGTGTGGACTTTCTCAATGGCTGCAGCTCTAATGGGATTCGTTATCTTGGGCCGGAAGTTGTATAAGATGAAGCGCAAGGCGCGGAGCTTGGAGCTTAAAGTTACCGTCGATGATAAGGTCGGTATATTGCTTTGTTTTCTTTTAGGATGTTCGAACTTTAGATTATGTGGTAAGATGTCGAAAGTTATATGCCAATGCAATGATGATTATGCGTTTCATATTTATATATGCTACTTTAGATAACTTCCCGTACTACCATAAGTTTGATGATCTTATCTGTTTTCTTGTTCATGTTTTCCTTCTGCCTAAAAGACTTGACATTTTGCTACTCAAATGTATTTCCAAAGACATACCAGCTATCATTTATTTACCAGTGAACTGTATAGGCATTTCGATATAACGAGTACGCTGTTCGTTCCTTGAAAGATTTTTTTGTCAACTGTATATAATTTTTCAGAAGCGTGTGGTTATCTACTTATCTTATAGAAACCACTGTGAAAACACTTTGTTCTCACTTGTTTAACCACCCAAATGTGTTGTAGTTGAAACCTTTTCAAACACTCTAAATTACCCGAATTTACTTCTGATTTTGTTTTCCGTGTGTTTTCTCAATTCTGCAGAAGGTGTCTCAGTTCATGAGCCGTGCTGCACGTCTCAATGAAGCATTCTCCGTCGTGAGACGAGTTCCCATCGTCCGGCCTATGCTACCAGCTGCTGGTGTGAACCCATGGCCTGTGATGAACATGAGATGAACAAACAGCAGGGATTTCTTGTGCAGTTGAGGGAAGTACAAAAAAAAAGAATGGAGCATTGTGGGGAACTAAGTGCAGCTTGCTTTCTTGCTTTTGGTGTTTCTTGCTTTCTAGGTTTCTTGCTTTTGTCGTGCTTGGAGGCCTCTTTTGGTCCATATATCATGTGCATAAAACTTGCAGCCTGAAAACTACTGAATCGCTCTCCCTCTCCTGTTCATCTTGTGTTTGTATAATTATTCCCCAAGTGAAAGTTATGGTTGAAATCATCTCATCCACTATTGACTAGCTGTTGCTCTTTAGTTTTCTGTCACAAATGTGGATGATACTTAAGGTAGTTATAGTATAGACAAAGAAGAACTATATCCAATTATCCATGTAACTCTGTTATAAAATCATACCGGCTTGGTATTGGTGTGTGCAATTGACTTTACATCATCGGTCTGTACAGTACAGTTTTCGCTAGCACTGTCAAGTAGTGCATAACTCCTATGACGAATCAACACTTGGATTAGGTGTGGTCATTAGAATCCGCGATCTCAGCGTGTCAACTCCTCGACATGTAAGGATTGTTGTTCATAAGTCATAACCATGCAGATGTGGAGTCGACATGATCGTTTTTCAGATTCAAATTATATTCGATTAGTACTGTGTCAGCCTCCTTCACGATCTCGAACCTATTACTCTTTTCCATCGATGTCACCAACGCGATGAAGCAAGGAAACGATAGAGGTGTAGACTATAGAGAAGCAAGGAAACCCGATCTATAATGGCTTGCAAACGACATTTCGACTCAAAGACATAGTACAAGTACTTGTTTGTGAAAGTGATATAGAACAGGGACCTAACATGATATTTAACTTCCAAAATATCAGTCGAAATAGCTGCAAAAACAAAGGGGGTGTAAAGGTTCTGGAAAGAATCAAAGAACAGCAAATCGGAGATTGCAACAAAGGGAAACAATAATCAGATCGAAATCAAACTCTTCCCCGTTCAGCTCCTGATCCTCTCTCTCTGCAACCCTAAGCTGCTCTCGCCTTCTCCGCTCTTGGACTCTCTCACACGTCTTTGCCACCACCACCGGAGGACTCCTCAGTCCGATTCCCAGTCGCAAGTCTGCTGTCAGAAGTCCGTCCGCGCCTCCTTCCGTCGCGAGCTCGCTGCCTCCCTCTGGTAAGGTGGTGATTCTTCCCCCTACCCTTTGTTTTTCCTAGATTTCGGGGAACTGACGGAGAGCGAGAGATTTGGAGAGGAAGTAAGGCGGAACGAATTGTAAAAGAGACAGAGAAGGGAGTGTTCATCGAGCAACTCCAATGTGAATTCCAATTTTTTTTTTTATAGCGGAATTAAGATTCTTTGTCTCCTTCTAGGCTTTTGCTTAGGTTTGAAGTAATAATGTTCGAGATTCTGAAGATTGCGCTTTATTCTGAATTTGGTATCTTAAATTTGCTCGTGAGGAACCAGTAGTTGTTGAGCTTCAGGTGGTCATGACATTCTGTACTCTTTCTTTTTGTGTTATATATTATCTCACTTGTGCATTTTCTTTGAATCTATTTGTTGCAGAGGGGGGAGGTTTTTGGGGTGTCGAAAAAGTTTCAATCTTTTGAATTGGTTTTCCACTTTTCATGCTTGAGGTGTGTTCAGAACAATGCAGAAGGATATAGGGTCACCAACATCTACACCTAGATTGCGGCATAGGAGAAGATCGAATGAGGTTTGTGGTTTTTGCTTACTCAAATTAGAAATTCGTAGAACTAGGCTGCTAGAGACTCACATAACTCTGTACTTGAAAACCTTTTACTTCCAATTTGCATGTCTGTTTGCTGCTGTTCATTTCTTGAGGATCATATTGGTTTCATACTCTGTTTGGAATCTTTCTGAAGCTTGGTTTGGAGAATGGTCGAATTGCATAATAGTGGTAGAGTATTATCACGTTAGTTAACAGGGCTGATATATGTATTTTGCTTCCAGATTCCTCAAGAGTTAAATAAATCAAACGGCGACAATTTACTCATCAATGACCAAAACAAGTACAAATCAATGTGGATTCGCACCTTGTCGTCCTTTTGGATGCTCGGGAGCTTTGTGTTTGCTCTTTATATGGGGCATCTATACATTTGGGCAATGGTGGTGGTTATCCAAATATTTATGGCCAGTGAGCTCTTCAACTTACTCAGGAGAGCTCATGAAAATAAGCGACTTCCTGGGTTTAGGCTATTGAACTGGTAAGCATGCAAGTGTTTCAGAGTGCGTGGGTTCAGATTTCTGTTTGTTTATTCCATGCAGCCAGATTGTACATGAGGATGGCTCACTAACTTTTTTGTCTTATGGTCATGTGGCAGGCACTTCTTCTTCACTGCAATGCTTTTTGTTTATGGCCGTATTATCAGTCAGCGACTTGTGAACACAGTCACATCAGATAATATCTTCTACAGGCTTGTTGGTGGTTTTGTCAAGTACCACATGGCCATATGTTATTTCTTGTACATTGCAGGTGCCCAAGTTTTCTAAGTCTTCCTGTTATCTGCTGGTGTTTTTTTAATCAGTAGTTAATGCTGTTCTCATTTGTTCAGGGTTTGTGTGGTTCATCTTGACATTGAAGAAGAAGATGTACAAGTATCAATTTAGCCAATATGCTTGGACACACATGATTCTTTTTGTGGTATTCGCTCAATCTGCATTCACTGTGGCCAATATCTTTGAAGGGATCTTTTGGTAACGTAACTTCCAATTGCTGTCACTTTCCCTTTACATTCATATAGCTATTGATTGTTTTCTAAAAGCCATCTTATGGTGGCTGAAATTCAGGAATAATTATATGTGATTTGTTAGGCTGGATGATTTCACCTAAGCCTGAAACTGTTAATTTTGTTTATAATCTGGTCTTGGCATCTTCATTTGTTTTTCTCTTCTTTTTCAAGCAAAAAGATGCAAACCTTGTCTATGTAACCTGAGAACTTGAGACATATACATGCAGGTTTCTTCTCCCGGCATCACTTATCGCAGTCAATGATGTTGCTGCTTATTTCTTTGGCTTCTTTTTTGGCAAAACTCCTTTGATCAAATTGTCTCCAAAGAAAACGTGGGAGGGTTTTATTGGAGCATCTGTTGCCACTATGATCTCAGCATTCGTTGTAAGTGTCTTGCCATCGACTCATTTTGCATTTGCAGGTTCTATTTTTATCTAAAATGATAGCTTTCATGAGTCTGCTTGTATGAAGCTCTAGTACCATTGTATTTTTGGTCTCCAAAATTTCATAGCATTGCCTGTATAGATCCGAGATTTACTGCAATGTTGTTGGAAAAAGAGAAATTCACCACCGTAGACTTTGCCTGGTGGTGTGGTTTCTTTATTTTAAGTGATGGTTTATTGGTAGGGTAATTGGATGGAACATTTAACACACTGGGTTCGTAACTTGGAGAGCGTGCATTTATTCCTGATGTAAAAGAAAGAAACGAGGGACTTTATAATGAGGCACATGCAAGGAGTAGAGATGTAGGTCGATGTTCCTCTTAATATTCCTCTCAATGTTCTCTTGGTGGAGAATGATTGCCATCTTTCAGATTCTGCTGATGTGATTAATATCTGACGTATGTACTTGTCTCCTGCAGCTTGCAAACATCATGGGCCAGTTCCTGTGGCTGACATGTCCTAGAAAAGTATGTTTTCTTAGTTTCTAAATGAATGTACAGGCTTTCTGTGAAAATGGTAAAGAGCTGTCTCTGATTTTATAGAACTCTCACTGTGACGTGCACCATGCAGGATTTATCAACGGGGTGGCTTGACTGTAATCCTGGCCCTCTCTACAAACCAGAGCCCTACCCTTTGCCGGGATGGCTTCCTCATTGGGTGAGTGATATAATGGAAATCTCTATCTTCATGATGATTTGAAATCGATCATCTTGAAAGAGGAGAGGCTGCTAGTGATAGCTGACGTAGTTTTTCTTTTTCTTCTTTTTACGTTCCATATATAGCTACCTTGGAAGGAGATTTCAATCCTGCCAGTCCAGTGGCATGCGTTGTGGTTGGGTTTATTTGCATCAATTATAGCACCTTTTGGAGGCTTCTTTGCCAGTGGATTCAAGAGGGCCTTCAATGTGAAAGTAGGGTTTTTGTTGATTTATTATAAGTGATGAATGGATTTACAAGGGGTTTTCTACGTGTTTTAAAATAGTGTCTCTCATCTCCTGTCTTGATGTAAAAATACAGGATTTTGGGGATAGCATACCTGGGCACGGTGGATTCACTGATAGAATGGATTGCCAGGTAAGCATGCCAAGCTCTATACCCGAAACATTTTTTTATGTTAACTCCTATGTACCGTTGCTGATATGAACACTCGATCTTTCTTTATATGCTTTGCAGATGGTGATGGCAGTCTTTGCTTACATCTACCACCAGTCGTTTGTTGCTCCTAACGACTCGTCAATCGAGATGATTATGAACCAGGTAAACTCTCGCTAGTAAAACTACTCTAAACTGGTTTTCGTTTATCTGATTGATTTGATTCTGATAATATCTTGGTTGGTTGGTGAGCAGATATTGGGCGGCCTCACGCTGGAGGAGCAGCGAGATTTGTACACGAAGCTAGGGGAGATACTTCAGGAGAGGATTAGACTATCATCGTGAAGTTATGTAGATAACATTTGTGCTTGCTTTTACTCTTGATCTTGAGTGCTTACAAACTTCCCCACTCTCCTTATGGAAGATAAATCTTATAGTGGTGACTCCCTTTTCTCGCCCCCTTTATTCCTTGGGACTCAAGCTTCTGTTTATCTTTTATCTCCCCTTTTTTGCAGCTAATATTATCATTCTTATTATATGGCCTTCTGGTCTGTAATCGATATTCGACCCAGTGTATCATATTAGCTACACAAACTCACTACTTTGATGCTAGTTTTAGCAACAGAAACAATTTGTATTGCGGGGAATCGTGATTTCAAGCTTGTTCAAGTTTGATGCATTGTAGAGGCTCCTTGCCCTGAGTAACAGAAGTTAATGTCGATGCTTCAAAATTAGGGTCCTATGTGAACATGTGAACGAGTTCAATGATCAAGTTGATGTACAATCCAGCAGAAAAGAACCATTAGTTTGGATGATGTTGAATAGGATATTTTTATTAGGGTGAAACTTAATACGAGAAATATACAAATTGAGTTAATGTGTTGACTCGTTGTTTTAGGCCAATGAGAATATCGTATATATTTGGCTAGCTAGCTAGTTGATATGGTGTTAGCATATGCGAATATAGGGTTAACACTAAATTGGAAACTCATGCGCATAATGATATAACATCCAATCTATGTTGTGTTTAATTGATGCATGATAACTAGTTAAGGGAACTTGAATCAAAACAACAATTGCCCTATAATTAAAACTCACCTTGTAAACTTGTGTTTGGTCTAATTGCTTTGTTAATTCGATCAATAGTAGATTATGTTATTAATAGTATTTAGTGTGTTCTGTGGAGACAATGTTGCTTCTTTATTGATAAAACGATAGGTACACTTAGTTTAATTTTATTGCATCATCTATCACTTTATACATGCATGGACAACTCCTCTCTCTCTCTCTCTCTCTCTCTCTCTCTCTCTCTCTCTCCTGCTACTATAGGGTTTACATCCTCGTATATTTGTATTCATACTATTTTGGCTTTGCATCTTATAATTATTATATATATCCATATTTATCGATCTCTATCTTTATTATCTTTACCGTTTTGTTTCCCTCACAGATTTCTCCATAAGCTCTTCCAACCAATACCCAAAAAACCCTAGATAGATGGAATTGTGCATCATTATTATCAATTTTAAACGAAAACAATAGAAAGAAAAAGGAGCCTTATATCCCCACCCACATATATCCAGACTCAAGGATTCAAGGCTCTCTCCCAAAAGATCCTTAGCCTAGATTATGAAAAGAAGAAACTTTTGACATATACTAGTTGGCCCGGACATTCAATCCGCCCCAAAAAATAGTAAAGTTATCTGAACCTGACCAATTTTCGTCGAGTTTGACTGTCACGCGCTTTGGAGCTAACTAATTTCCTAGAGGTGGGTGTTGAAATCAAACAGACAGAACTTGGTTTGATCGACATGATCAACACAACAATAAAAACCTTGAAAAATATAAGAACTAGAAAGAGTCTTAATCTATTAACATGGTAGTCAGCGTTGAAACTTGAAAGTGCTATAACCCACCAGTGCCTATGCCTTTTCTTAGTTACCATGAGGAGTTGGATTATGGCCTTTAAATTTACCTAGTCTGTTTCCAATTTGATATTGAAAACATTAGAGTTTGTTTTGTTAACTTCAATATCTCAAAGTCTAATCTAAATTTTTCCCTAAATCTGAATTCTTCAACATATACACACCACCTTATGTGAAAAATCAGTAAGAAGGCTATTTATGTATACTAACAAACCACTCCACCGAAAGAATTCCATTTCGATAAAGGACATATAAATACATAGAATACATGGTTGGTTGTGTGTTCTAACTTCTAATCATATAACTCATAATGATCACCAAAATTACATTATGCTATATATGTTAGAAGTAGTCCTAACTCACTAATAATTTGAATGTGCCTATTATGCATGCAATTCCCCAAGCTTTCTTTTTTGTGAGACTGAAACCCTCCTCAAAAAATACATGGTACCTCAATTTTATCAGAAAATTAAATTTTGGTACCTCAATTTTTTCTTATGATTATTTAGTATCTAAGATGTAAAAATTTACATATTGGTCAAATGTTTAGATGTCACTTGGATCCACCAATTCAATCCACCAATCTATTTAATTAAAATTCATGAATCCATCGATAATCCATTTTGTCCAATCCATTTGCCACCTCTACTTACAGAAATCATTCAGGTTTTTACTTCCCAATTGTTTAACCAGTTTAGCTTTCCATAACTTCTTTACCTACAAAGTGAAGATCAATAGTTTGGTTATTATGAATTAGGAGTTGCGAGAGGATCTTAACTCTGCTGGCAAACGCAAGCCAGGAAGCTCTAGGAGGGCCACCCTAGGACATCCACAAACCCCATCACAGCTGAGAATATGGGAAAGCAATTTCATAAATGTGTTTTGTTGGAATATGGATTAATTTGTATAATACGACAAATTACTATGCAATTAACAAGGCCAATTCGTCTCCTCCCTCTTTCAGATGTCCCTGACTGTACTTTATGACCAGCTGATCTATGAGGAGTGGGCATTGTATAGCAAAGACGAGAAAATGAAGGGGGATTCCTCAAAATTGTAATAAACAAGAAAGTCACATGGCATGTCCTGAAATTAGGGTGTTAACATTTACTAAAATACTCTTAATAATTACACTTAGCGCATTATCTGGTGTCGTAGTTGATGCCCACGTTTCTTATCAAAGCATTTTTGTTTGTTTGGTTCTCTCCATTATTTCAATGTCTAATATAAAGTAATCCCTATATATAAATTCCTTAGCATGTACAAATCCTCAATGAAAAATCAATAAGACAACTAGTTGTGTATACTAACAATCACTCCACCTACCAAATTAATTATTTCACTAGAGGACATATAAATATGTAGAAGACATGGTTGGTTGTGTGTTTATAATCATATAGTTCACATTGATCACCAAATTACATCATGCTATGTTAGAAGTAGCCCAAATTCATCAAGAATTTGAATGTGCCTATAATATATGCATGCAATTCCCAAACTTTTCGCTATATTGTGTCTTTAGTAATGAAATGAAGCCAAGACCTCTTTGAAATGCACATTGAATAATGTCCTTCCCTTGCCTAAATTATGAGTCTTGTGGGATCGAAGACCTCATTCAATCCACGACAAGAAGAAAACAAAAGCTCCCATAATGTATGAGTTATACAATTCTACTCCATCACGTTATTTTTGGGCACTTCTAATTAAAAACGGTTGGTCCAATTTAGAATTAATTTTTAATTATACCAAACATAAAGAAAATAAATCACAAATGGATCAAAACACTATTTCATTCAATTTAACAGTTTATTCGTTCTTAATACTATTTTTTTTAGTTTTTCCTAATTGTGTTTCATAAGTAAAATAACATTACACGAAGGGAAAAGGTTCTTCAGTCTATGAGAGCCACACATAAAAAAGGATATATAATAGTGACTTTTTTAATATCAAATTAGTGAGTAGAGTTTTTTGGCTTTTTGGGTATTGGTTGGAAGTATGATTTGGCAGTCAGAGCCCAATCTTTCGCCAGTTGGCTCTTTCGGACGTCCGACTAATATAAGCCACAATACGTCGGACGACCTTGTCGGCTACGCTTTCGGACTCCAGTGAGTTATGTCTCGGATTCTGCTGCTGATATCCGTGGTGGCGAGGCGGACGAGAAGTAAGATTCGTCAGTCGGAGCCCAATTTTTCAACGGATGGGGAGTGAAGGGGGAATAATCACTATGATTGGGCACATTCTGCACGTGGCATAGAAGAGTCATTTCTGATTTCTCCTTTTCTTGATTAGTTTTCTTTTTATGGTCACGTGGAGTAGTTTTGATTTTGGGAGGGGAGCGGGTAATTCGGCTATTTAAGAAAACGATCCGCCCGACTCTGGGTCTGTGGAGTCCTTTTACAGGCCTTGGGCCCAAAATGGGTCTTGTATATCTTTAAATTAAATTAAATATGTGCATTTTTCTTTTTCTAGAATTATTAATTTTCTCTTTCTTTAACATGATAGTCAAAGTAAAACTTGAAAGTGCTATAACCCACCAACTTTTCTTGGTTACCACGAGGAGTTGGATTATGGCCTTTTAAATTTACCTAGTCTATTTTCAATTTGATATGGAAAGCATTAGAGTTTGTTTGGTTATCTCCAATATCTCAAAGTATAATCTAAAGTTATCCCTAAATCTGAATTCTTCAACAAATACACACCACCTTAAGTGAAAAATGAGTAAGAAAGCTAGTTATGTATACTAACAAATCACTCCACCGAAAGAATTCCATTTTGCCGAAGGACATATAAATACATAGAAGCCATGGTTGGTTGTGTGTTCTAGTCATATACTTCACATTGATCACCAAAATTACATTATGGTTAGAAGTGGTCCTAACTCGCCAAGAATTTGAATGTGCCCATTATGCATGCAATTCCCCTAGTTTTTTTTTTCCCCAGGTCGAAACCCTCCTCAAAAAATGCATGGTGAATAATGTCCTTCCTCCCTCGCGTAATCATGAGTCTCGAGTGTGAAGGCCCCATTCAATCCATGAGACCATCCACATCCATGACAATGGACTGAATGTGCCTATTATTTATTGCAATTTGAACGTGCCTATGATCCATATCAATTGCAAGTAATTAGATAGGGACATATCCATCAATGCAGCTAACCTTTTTTGTTTTCTTTGTTGTTTTTTCCTAGAAATCCATGCATAATGATATAGTGTAAGGTGAGCTTCTTTGTTGACAATTTTGACTCTGACTTTTGAACTAATGAGAGGGATGGATGGATAGATAGATAGAAACAATGAATATATTGTGTATGCAAAATAAATAATATTAAGTATAGTAACAACCTCACACTAACAATACGGTCCATCATAGTTTTCCTTTCATGTGGCTTTTGCCAAGTCCACAAATAGTGCCAGTGGTGATATAATGAGGTTATATATTGAAGTTGCGTCTTTTATTGCTTTTCTTACCAAGCCATGCATAATGATATAATGCAGGTGAGCTTCTTTGTTGACATTTTTCACTCTGCCTAGCTAGCTAGCTAGCTAGCTTTTGAACTAATCAGAGGGACTAGAAACATAGAGATAGATGTAGTAGTTGAGCTACGTACTACCAACAACATATTTCAGCAGTTGTCCTATCTTCCTACATACGTACGTCTCCTTTAGCCTTTCTTTCTTCTTCTTCTTCTTCCGCTCCTATAAATTGCCCCCTGATACCAAGCAAAAAGCAATACCTACACACATCTTTTCTCCTTGTTCAACACAGATTTCAGGCATCGCGGCATGGCTTCTCACAGGAGAAATTGCGTCGTTCCCGTGTTGCTGCTGCTGGTCGCTGTCGTCCTCGACATACCATGCAAATGCAATGGAGTGGCTGCTTCTGCGTCTCGGCGCATGCTGGAGATGCCGGAGCTTCCCAAGCCTGCAGAATTGCCTCCGCTCCCCAAGGTCGAGCTTCCTCCTCTGCCCAAGCCTGAGGTTCCAGAGTTGCCCAAACCCGAAATCCCCAAGCCTGTTGTTCCTGAGGTGCCGAAACCTGAACTTCCTAAGCCTCAGGTTCCAGAGTTGCCAAAACCTGAGCTCCCTAAGCTTGAAACTCCGGAACTGCCCAAGTCCGAAATCCCTAAACCTGAAGTTCCTGAGGTCCCGAAACCTGAAATCCCAAAGCCCCAAGTTCCCGAGCTTCCAAAGCCTCAAGTTCCAGAGCTGCCAAAACCTGAAACTCCTAAGCCTGTAGTTCCAGAGTTGCCCAAACCTGAAATGCCGAAGCCCCAAGTTCCAGAAGTGCCCAAACCTGAGGTCCCAGCCTTGCCGAAACCTGAATTCCCAGCTTTCCCAAAACCTGAGGTGCCAGAGCTGCCGAAAGTGCCAGAGATTCCAAAACCTGAACTCCCAAAAGTACCAGAATTCCCCCATCTGCCTGACCTTCCGAAACCCATTACTCCTTGAATCTTTATGGACTTTGTCATATACTAGTTCTTGTGCCTCATGAAGCAGCATCTCCGTTTGTTTGGTTATTTTTGTGTTTCCGTTTTGTTTTTCTTTAATGGTTTTGTACTCATTTATACTTGTGTGATTATTGTACTTCATCATGTATCCGATATGATTGATATATTGAGATGAACATTATTCTATTTTTAATTATGATTTTCTTGTCACTTTAGTTAGATAAGATTCATTGTTAGACTTGTCATTCTAGTGTCAATTAACCAATAAAATTGTATCCATATCAAAACTGTATTTTGTCTAATTTTATCTGATTCGATTTCAATTGGAATCAAAATATATCCAATTTAGTCTGATTTAATTTCGACTGATCTTCTTATTTCTATTGAGAGTCTTGTAAATTGACTTCTAATTGCTTCCAAATTACATTAACCGCAATGAGTCAATGGCAAAGATGTTTTGGTAATTTGATTAGTAGTTAAGTAAATAAAAAAATCACCTTTATAATTGGATGAGTAACTCACTTTAATAGTTTATTACTAGTAGTTCGAGTATTTGTTGGACATGACATTGCTTGCTTTTTTTTACTAAAAACGATATGTAAACTTATGTTAGACTCTTAGCTATGATACATTATGCATTGACTATTATATCTCTCTATCTACTTTTGTCTTTCAATCAATAACCATCTGATAAGAAAACTTCTGTATTTCAAGCAATAACAACATATGATAAGAAAAGAATGAGCAGCACATCAAAAAATGAAACAAAACCAACGAGAATCTATTTAAGACCTTGAAGTAAATGTTTTGGTAACGATGTTAACGTTCTTGCAAATAGTACAAGTTTGCAAAGGGTAGGTCTGGATGTTCTGTTCGTCCTCCTTCATCGGTCTCTCTGCCCCTCCCTCACCATGACATCTCATAAGAAGAAGAGAGCATGTGGAGAAGAATACACCAGCTAGTATGAGCATTTGATTCAATCCCACCGACTAACCCTCTTCCCCTCCATTTAATTCAATCCCGCCACTGGCGACTAATTGAAATTCAGGAGAAACCCTAACGAACCTGAAAAGTTGATAGGACGAGTGTGCAGGGGGTGAAAGGGGGGAAAAGGCAATTGCGATCAAAAGGACGTCAAATTGCGTAATGAAATTGACTGGATTAGGGATAGAATTTGGAAAGCAAGCCGCGATGCGAGAAAAGAGGAAACTTAGTGTCGCTCGCAAATTTGAAAAGGACGAATCGACCCGCGGTCAGCTAACTCTCTTCCTCTCTGTCCTGGCCCGTCGAATCCACCCGTCGCCGACTAACTCCCTTCCTCTTTGTTCGTCGAACCCTAGTTTGCGCCTACTTATTCTAATCTTCATTCATCAAGCAATCCAAAGGTAGTAGAAGAATGAAACTTCCTTCAACTGATTTTCCGAAATGCTATTTTCTTTTGATTTTGGAGGCTACAGATCACGGATTCAACCCGAGGCTATTCTCCACATATAATGCGGTCTATTGATCCTATTCTCTGCCAATGATTAAGCCCATTAAGCATCGATTTGGGCGAATTTATTTTGGGATGACATTTTCGTAATATTTTAGACGATTTTTTTTCGAAAGGCCATTTACCATGGATTTTGAAGGCTATAGATCACGGATTCGGTTTGAGACTATTCTTCAACGATGACTAAGTCCATTAAGCACCGATTCGGCGGATATCTTCCGGGTCAATTTTTGGCAGATCCCAAAGGGGTACCATCACCGCTTTCAGGCGATTTTTCAGAAATGCCATTTTCTTTCGATTTTGGAGGCTACAGATCACGGATTCGGCCCGAGGCTATTCTCCACATATAATGAAGTCTATCGATCCTATTCTCCGTCAATGATTAAGCCCATTAAGCATATATTTTGGCGAATTTATTTTGGGATGGCATTTTCGTAATATTTTAGACGATTTTTTTTCGAAAGGCCATTAACCATGGATTTTGAAGGCTACAGATCACGGATTCGGTCTGAGGCTATTCTTCAACGATGCTTAAGTCCATTAAGCACCGATTCGGGTGGATATCTTCCGGGTCAATTTTTGGCAGATCCCAAATGCGTACCATCAACGATTTCGGGCGATTTTTCCGAAATGCCATTTTCTTTCGATTTTTCAGGCTACAGATGACGGATTCAAACCGAGGCTATTCTCCACATATAATGAAGTCTATTGATCCTATTCTCCGCCAATGATTAAGCCCATTATCCATCGATTTGGGCGAATTTATTTTGGGATGGCATTTTCGTAATATTTTAGACGATTCTTTTCGAAAGGCCATTTACCATGGATTTTGAAGGCTACAGATCACGGATTTTATCTGAGGCTATTCTTCAAAGATGATTAAGTCCATTAAGCACCGATTCGGGCGGATATCTTCCGGGTCAATTTTTGGCATATCCCAAAGGGGTACCATCACCGATTTCGTGCGATTTTTCCGAAATGGCATTTTCTTTCGATTTTTGAGGCTACAGATGACGGATTCAAACCGAGGCTATTCTCCACATATAATGAATTCTATTGATCCTACTCTCCGCTAATGATTAAGCCCATTATCCATCGATTTGGGCGAATTTTATTTGCGATGGCATTTTCGTAATATTTTAGACGATCCTTTTCGAAAGGCCATTTACCATGGATTTTGAAGGCTACAGATCACGGATTCGGTCTGAGGATATTCTTCAAAGATGATTAAGTCCATTAAGCACCGATTCGGGAGGATATCTTCCGGGTCAATTTTTGGCATATCCCCAAGGGGTACCATCACCGATTTCAGGCGATTTTTTCGAAATGCCATTTTCTTTCGATTTTTGAGGCTACAGATGACGGATTCAAACCGAGGCTATTCTCCACGTATAATGAAGTCTATTGATCCTATTCTCCGCCAATGATTAAGCCCATTAAGCATCGATTTGGGCGAATTTATTTTGGGATGACATTTTCGTAATATTTTAGACGATCCTTTTCGAAAGGCCTTTTACCATGGATTTTGAAGGCTACAGATCACGGATTCGGTCTGAGGCTATTCGTCAACGATGATGAAGTCCATTAAGCACCGACTCGGGAGAATATCTTCCGGGTCAATTTTTGGCTTATCCCAAAGGGGTACCATCACCGATTTCGGGCTATTTTTCCGAAATGCCATTTCCTTTTGATTTTGTAAGGCTACAAATCACGGATTCAACCCGAGACTATTCTCCACATATAACGAAGTCTATTGATCCTATTCTGCGCCAATGATTAAGCCCATTATCCATCGAATTGGTCGCATTTATTTTGGGGTGGCATTTACGTAATATTTTAGACGATCCTTTTCGAAAGGCCATTTACCATGGATTTTGAAGGCTACAGATCACGGATTCGGTCTGAGGCTATTCTTCAACGATGATGAAGTCCATTAAGCACCGATTCGAGCGAATATCTTCCGGGTCAATTTTTGGCATGTCCCAATGGGGTACCATCAACGATTTCGGGCAATTTTTTCGAAATGACATTTTCTTACGATTTTGGAGACTACAGATCACGGATTCGACCCGAGGCTATTCTCCACATATAATGAAGTCTATTGATCCTATTCTCCGTCAATGATTAAGCCCAATAAGCATCGATTTGGGCGAATTTATTTTGGGATGGCATTTTCGTAATATTTTAGACGATTTTTTTCGAAAGGCAATTTACACTGGATTTTGTAGGCTACAGATCACGGATTCGGTCTGAGGCTATTCTTCAACGATGATTAAGTCTATTAAGCACCGATTCGGGCAGGTATCTTCCGGGTCAATTTTTGGCAGATCCCAAAGGGGTACCATCACCGATTTAGGGCGATTTTTCCGAAATGCCATTTTCTTTCGATTTTTGAGGATACAGATGACGGATTCAAACCAAGGCTATTCTCCACATATAATGAAGTCTATTGATCCTATTCTCCGTCAAAGATTAAGCCCATTAAGCATCGATTTGGGCGAATTTATTTTGGGATGGCATTTTCGTAATATTTTAAACGATTTTTTTCGAAAGGCCATTTACACTGGATTTTGTAGGCTACAGATCACAGATTCGGTCTGAGGCTATTCTTCAACGATGATTGAGTCTATTAAGCACCGATTCGGGCAGGTATCTTCCGGGTCAATTTTTGGCAGATCCCAAAGGGGTACCATCACTGATTTAGGGCGATTTTTCCGAAATGCCATTTTCTTTCGATTTTTGAGGATACAGATGACGGATTCAAACCAAGGCTATTCTCCACATATAATGAAGTCTATTGATCCTATTCTCCGCCAATGATTAAGCCCATTATCCATCGATTTGGGCGAATTAATTTTGGGATGGCATTTTAATAATATTTTACACGATTCTTTTCGAAAGGCCATTTACCATGGATTTTGAAGGCTACAGATCACGGATTCGATCTGAGGCTATTCTTCAAAGATGATTAAGTCCATTAAGCACCGATTCGGGCGGATATCTTCCGGGTAATTTTTTGGCAGATACCAAAGGGGCACCATCACCGATTTCGGGCGATTTTTCAGAAATGCCATTTTCTTTCATTTTGGAGGATACAGATCACGGATTCGACCCGAGGCTATTCTCCACATATAATGAAGTCTATTGATCCTATTCTCCGTCAATGCTTAAGCCCATTAAGCATCGATTTAGGCGAATTTATTTTGGGATGACATTTTCGTAATATTTTAGACGATTTTTTCGAAAGGCCATTTACCATGGATTTTGAAGGCTACAGATCACGGATTCGGTCTGAGGCTATTCTTCAACGATGATTAAGTCCATTAAGCACCGATTCGGTCGGATATCTTCCGGGTCAATTTTTGGCAGATCCCAAAGGGGTACCATCACCGATTTCGGGCTATTTTTCCGAAATGCCATTTCCTTTTGATTTTGTAAGGCTACAAATCACGGATTCAACCCGAGACTATCCTCCACATATAACGAAGTCTATTGATCCTATTCTGCGC